CACACACACACACACACACACACACACACACACACACACACACACACCAAGTCTTCAGGCATGGAGCACTCATTAATATTGCATGAAGAAAAGATTGTTGTTGTAGTACTCGTTCTAACTTGTCTTTATGCTGTAATAATAACAGTGTCTTGGTTTTACAATGATAGCCCCCCCCCACAAGCAGAAACTTTGACACAAAGGAATAGCTTTATCTCTACAAAAAGGCGTTGTGATTGGAAGTCTTACCAAGCTGTGCCCAGAGAGGGTTATAGGGATGTGTCTTTGCCAGCATGTCAACGCTCTGGGAGGAGTGTTTCTCGAGGAAGATCTTAATTGGAGGCTGCCCATTGGGCATGACGGTGGGGACCCAGGCCAGATGATTGGTCAGGATGGCTGTTAATAATGCAGGGAGGAATCTGGAAGGTGGGACAAAGTGTGGTTAGAGAATTGAACTTCACCTAAAACTCACCGATACATTTCTATTGACCTTATTTGGTCGCTCAACCATCTCTATACTGAGAACACTGGCCAAACTTTTACGTTCTGAGCAGACCACTGCAATGCACATATAATCAGAAACACAAAAAAGTCACACACACTCAGTTCGCATGATTCACTTCTCAGTTCTGACCACAAGTGTCTACTTCCTTTTCTGTCCCATGACCTAACACGATACTGGAAGTCTAGTTTCATCCCGTGCCAGAACCCAGCTGTGACGGCAGTAGCCATTAGTCATGGGATCTCTGATAGGATGCCTCATGAAAGCCATAATGTGATACAGTAAGACCACAGCTTCCCATGGTAACGTGATACTTCACCATGTCAACAGCACGTACAGATAGTTGGGTGTGGGCCAGGTTAACCGGTATTGGTGGAAAATGTAACTTTGACATCACCCCCCCCCCCCCTTTTTTTTGGAAGGAAACAAATTATTACCAAGGAGACTGTTTCTATTCTCAGACAACTGTTAATGAGCAAACAGGGAACCACAATCCCAGTCTGCAAAAACTCACACTGGATTGCGTAAAAAAGAATGATGTTCACATTAATTAATCATTTATAGTCAAGAAGTGTAAGTATAAATGTGCTTTAATTTTTTAATAGTTTTTTTTTCTTGATACTGATATTTAAACCGTGACAATATTTTTAGCTATTCGTGTAATAAAAAGTGAACGGGAATATTCAGTTCTGTACAGTGAATACAACTTAAATTTAATGAACTGAAAATGTTCAATAAAATCCCTGCTACCAATTCATGTATGTACAAGAAGCAGTGGTTTTTGTAACTGCAACAATAAGCAGTTAGAGGCTGGCAGGGATTTTCTCATTCACAGCTTCTTTCGAGGCAGTAAAAAGAGGGTGAAAGTGTCACAGTGTGTGTTATTTAGAGCATTGATTTGTGAGGAGGGAAGTGAATAATGTGTGTGAATCTGCATGTGTTTCTCTGTTAACAAGCTTGCTACTCAAGTACAAATGAAGAAAAAAATCATTCATGAAGAGTTTAATCGTGCACACTTTTTCCCTTCTGATATTTAACAGTTAAGTTGTAAATCAACAGGGTTTGCACCTTATAACTAATAAAAACCTTTTTGTCTGTTTGAAAATTGATGTAGTAGCTTAATGTGTTTGATCCCAGTCAATGGTATCACCTCTAAAACATTTAAGCAACAACAGAGTTCCCTACAGTTTGAGGCAAGTTAAATTTAAGACACTTTAAGACTTTTTAATGCCAAGTGAAGTTAAATTTAAGACCAATTTCACAATAAACACAAATGACAAAAAAAAAAAAAAAAAACTGTGGCAGGAACCCAACAAACTAAGTTATGTTGAAGTATTAGAATATTGATAATAGACCAACTGTTTTTATCCATATCTAAATATAGCAGAAACATTCTTAGCAGTCAGTTTTAGACTTCACTTAATTTCTAGAAAATCCTCTAACGATCCAAAATTTGGAGTTTTAGGACCCACAGTGGGGTCTTAACCCCAATTTGCTGTAGATGAAACCCTAAAGTGCCAGTGACATCAATTTTTTGTAAGAAAAGTTAATTCATTTTTTGAAAGACAGCATTATCATATTAAAAAATGAATTTCACATTGCTCAGATTGTTTAGATATTTGCATGTGAAATAGCAGGAAGTGATGTCAAAAGGGAATGTCTGCATGTGAATATTTAAAAAAATAATTTTTACCAATTATTTTAATATTTGAAATGAATTAGAATCATCCAATGTACAATGTGTTAACATTTTTAAGACTCCTGAAAGATTGATTTAAGACATTTTAAGGCTAATTAAGGCCTTATTTTTGGATTGATGAATTCAATGCCTTTTTTGACTTTTTAAGGAGCTGCAGGAACCCTGAATAAAGTGTTACAAGAAACGCAGATGAGATTGAGCAGACACTCAACTGGTTCTTGGAGGCCTGCTCCATCAGTGAGGACAGCTCCCTCATAAAGAGGCCGCAGAGCTGGTTCTTCTCTGATGCTCCAGACATCATCGTCAACCAGACGGGCTCGGCCACACGGGGCATTGTGTACAGGTCGCAGATGGTCATCCTGGAGAAGAGGTGTGGAGAGGGAGGGATGAAAATGGGAAAAGGAATGAAGAGGGGGGAAAAGACAAAACAGACAGAGAGAGAACAGACAGGTTATTGTCTCTCAGTGAAAACAAAGGCCATCTGAGTTCACAGAGCTTCACTGTCTGCACAGAGGCCACGGGAGACCCTCGCTGTGTGTGTGGTTGTTTGTCACAGTCTGACAAACTTGTGTGCATGTGCATGCATGTCTGTATGTATGTTGCTCAGCTTGGGCATTTGTCCATTGAGAAGGACTGGAGTTTTCCATGGAACGTGTGGCGTTGCACGTCTCGGCCACAGGCCAAGCTTTCACACAGAGGCAGAGGGGAATCTCTGCAAACGTGTGAGCAATGTGGAAAAAATCCAATGAATATAACACAGCTGTTGAATTCTGAGCTACACAAAACAGCAAAAAAGGTTGAGTGTTGAGGAATCAACTTTGCAATCTTCTACAAACATAAAAGCATTTTACGTAAATATAACAAACTAAATTAGCTGCTTTCAGCCCTGATCAGTCACAAGACTTGTGTTGACGTGTTGATAAAAAAACAAAAACCTAAAACCACAAGCTAATTGATTTTGTCAAACTAAAAGCAGCTCAGGCTGTAAACAAGGTTGACTAACAAGTTTTGACCAATAAAGGGGACAATAAAATGAGAGCTAAGAAGCTAAAGACAAAAATACAGGTGTCACACACTTGAGAGGTGACCTTCAGTTCAAGTTCAGGAAAAATTATTTTCCCATAGAAATAAAAAGGAACGCTTGTGCTTCATGCATGTACAAAAGAAAATGTATAAAAAGAAGAAGCTAGACATTGCAATGCAGCTGTCGCAATTTCTTTTTGTTTAACAGACGTTAAATGACAAAACCTCCAACCTGCTTTCCAAAGTAACATTTAACTGTTTGCTCTTGACAAACACTGAGCTGAGAAGCTACAGCAGAAATTAGTAAGAAGGATCTGAGATGCAACTCATCCTATTTGAAACACATCTCTGATTTGTTTTGGCAGCCAACTTGTCAGTTTCAGAGTCAAATAAACAACATTTAGAACATTCTTGTATTGTAAACAGGTCCATCTCTCTGTGGCTTTCTTAACCTGCACACTCATGCATTGAGAGCCTGTCATTGTACAAAAGTCTGAGCATGAGCCAATGGTACATAAGAACAGAAATCTAGCTTTAGTATCCATGCAGAAGCTGTTCCAAGTGAACTTTAAAATGCTGTGACATCAACTGAAATTAAAATGATTGGTCAGGCTGATGGGACCTAATCACAGTTATCATTATGAACTCTAATCCATCACTAACCTACAGTCCTAATTTTTTTAATGAACCTGGGTAAATTAAAATAAATAAATACACACACACACACACACACACACACACACACACACACACACACACACACACACACAC